GTTAAAAAAGTAAAAATCGCAACAAGTACCAACTTTAAATACAGAAAATACTTAGCAAAAAAGAAAGAGAATAAAAATAGAATAAGATGCAGTAGCAGATGTAAAAATATATACAAACGTTCTGTACATTAATATTCACTTTTAAATTACAACCATGCGCGTATCTTTATTTATTTCTCTACGAAATATTGTAACTTAGATTTTAAAAATAACTCTGTCGCAATTTTTTGTGAACGCTTCCACTGTTAAAAAAATGCAAGAAAATTGAAATAACGTGGAAATGTCGCTTTGAAGTCGCATTGAAATTCGAAAATAAACTGTGCTTATAAAGCCTAAAAGAAGTCAATCAGAATTTGTAAAAGCATCTGGAGTACTCCATTTGCAAAAAAAAACCAGGATACATGACTACATAGTAGAAAACAATTTTAATTTTATGGTGATTAAGCAACCGTACAACTTTTGACTTTAACTTTGTTTTCTATTTCTAATAATTAGGTAAATTTCGAGGAACGAGCACTTAGTGACTCACCTTGTATATTTACAACCTAAAATGTGTTCAGGCACGTCTGCTTCATAGAACCTTTGTTCCTTTCAGTTATCAATTGGAGAGAAAGTCAGCGTTGTAAATTATTATCATTACCATAATCCTGAGCGATTATTGAGAGCTTCCAATAAACATTTGAAAACAGAAAGTCAATGTTCACTATTTGCTAGATAATACTAATGGTTAACGATCTGATTCGTATCACCATTGTAATTCTGGGCAGTATATTGGGGGCTTCCAATAAGCACTTGAAGTCAGTGTTCACTCTTTTTTTTTTTAATTTCGGCGTTTCTCTACGTTTTACAACTCCTAAAGCACGAAAAAAATGTGCCCCGCGCTTTCGTCTGTCGGTCGTCTGTAATTTGTTAGTGATTTTTTTATTACCTAAAGATGAACTGATTATTTATAAATAATTGAGCAGTCAAAAATTTATTCCATTGAATTAAAAAAATGATTTTGAGAATTTCTAGCGTATTTTCAGGTGATTTTTTTCATTACGAAATTTTGTCATGCCATCAACATTTTAGATAAAACACATATATCAATTTGGATAGGTGCAGTGGTATACTAATAATAACAGTATTGCATTTTTAAAATTTCGGGAAAATGGGGTGAGTCGTTTTTAATTGGGTCAATAAAATAAACTGCCCATTAATAAATCTTTTTGACTTACCCTGTTTAACTAATTTTAAAAAATATGAATGCGTTGGAAAACAAATAAGTTACTCATAATATTTTGCACATTTAAATAGGTTTTATTCGGTAAAATTTTCATCTTTCTTAGCTTACACCCGGGAAGTCAAAAATCCAAATTTTACGACATTTTTAATATTTTTCAAGTAATTACTGCTCAAGTGTATATTTAAATTTAAAATGATAAAATCACCTGCCTTGTTGGCAATTTGATTTTTTTATTAAATTTCATCAGACACACTGGTAAAAATTTTCCTTAAATAAAACAAATAAGAAAAATATTGTACAATAAGTAGGTGTGTGGTAAACGAAATTTAGTCATCAAGCGTGATGATGAAATTTTAAAATTTATTGTTGAATGGTACAAATCAATAATTACAGCCTAATATTATTCTCGGTTAGTTCTCATTTTCCAGTAACAAAATCAGCAGAAATTTGGATGACCCTTTTTCAAAAAACACGTGAAAATTTCTGCAACTGCATTGACATATTTCACAGAAAGACCCAGATATTCTTACACTATCACTGGATGCATTTGCATAAGCGTAGAATTTTAATAAGCGATCAAGTGATATACTTCCAAATAATTGATTACAAACATAAACAGTGTTGTTTAATAAATCAATTCCAACCACACGATCTTTGACCCAATTTTGAAAAGTGTTACCTGCTAAAATAGAGGTCGTTCCACCTATTTATGAGGTAAATGTATTTTGAAAAAATTTTTCCACTATAAAAATTCTAGTAAACGAACATGCCTCATTCATTGATTACTACATTCATTGACAAATGTATTGTTTCACACCGATTGTTTCCATAGTAAAAATATAAAAAGGCAAGAAAGCGGAAGAACAGTCGTGAGATCGATGTATATGTGTGGAAAAGCCATAAATTCATGGTGTTAAAAATACAGCAGAAGTGGCAACTCACCTTGTGATCAGCTGAGCGTTGTGTCTATGCTTTGTTTATAAATAAAACGTTTAATACACCATGTGAAAGTAGCGGGTATAAAACCACTGAAAACGTACTTGTCGGCGACTCCCTTTATGCACTTCATTCCCCTCTCTTACGACACATGCGCAAGGGGAGATACATATTTATTCATTAGGAACATTTAACCTGTACACTTCATATCCTTCATCCTCATACACTTTCCATTGGGGATGTTATTGCGATCCTTCAACAATTGACCTCACACCAATTACACCGCAACAACATGATTGCTCCCATCAGTCATGGTTTGGTCACACGCAAACGTATTTTCTTTTGTTCTTCAGTTTCCACGAAAATCCTCTTTTTATTGTTATTAATTAATGATTATTTTTCAAGAAGAAACACGCACACATCCAACACACGTGTCGTTGTGTGTAAACACGGTAAATATTTACGCCTGTAGGTCTAATTTTTTCCTTGTTTTTGGTAAACAAATTCCGGAAAGTGTCAAAGCACAGATACTGAATTTTGTAGAGAAATTTCAGTTTACTACTTCAGTAAAATTTGTCAGTTATAATTTACATTGGGCATTGATTTTGTTATCCTGGTTTATTACATAATGGATACGTTTTACATTTTTTATAACAAGGACTCTACCAACAACATAAAAACGACAGACTTATAAGCCCACCGTGCGACGTTCTTTCAAAATAAAACACAGTAAATATGTATATCAAAAGATGAAGATAGAGGGCAAATATTTGTGGTAATGCCGAATATATGATTCCAAAATTCTTTAACGAAATGACAAAAACGGGCCAGTTAACACACCAATTCTGAAAGTAATATAAAAAAATTTTTCAACAAAACTATTATCTTCTGTTGAAAAAATGTCTGATGACGTCAGACTCGCTCTTTGTCAATGAATGTAGGTCGTCTTGTTTAAGAAGAAATAGTTTTTAGCATTGTCAAAAAGTTATTTCTAGAGTTTTACAAATATAGTATTTTTATAAACTTGTTTCAAAGAACAAATAATAGCTCAATAAATTATGTTCGGGCAAATTTTCGTTCGAAAGCTTTATGGCTGGAAGTTGCCAATTGTTTTATATTTACCACGTTTTCTTTATACATAGTAGCATATATTGCTGTCCGTCATCGTTGAGTTTGTGAAATTGTGCTTATTCTTCGTACTTACCTGTTATGATAATGATTCTTAAAAATGATGCAATACAAAATTATCCACGGAATTATTTTTTACCATTTTATTAACGAAACATGACTCTCTTTTAAGGTTGCATATTGATTTCAATTTTCCTGTTACGTCGTAAAGAATAGTTAAAGTTTAGCAAACAAACGACTGTTAGTTAAAGTTTGACGATTCTTTTGCCATTAATGAAAAATATGTTATTTTCACCCAATTAAACTGCCGACAATCTACTATAAAACATGATATTTTAACAAATTTCGCACTTGATTTTATTTTACGATCACAATGTATTCTATTTCAGGAAAGCATGAGCTTTCTATCTTAACGGAAGCGGAAATTAATCAAATTGTCAAGCTCACTTAGATTTGCTCTTATAGTTTATAATAAGTGTCCATGAAAAGATAAGATTATAACTGAAATACTTCAAATTTTCAGTAGTTCTCACTCTGTAGATAACTTACTGAAACTTGAACATACATTTTTGTCAAAAGCTTTTATGTATTTCTTATAAAATGCATAAACTACTTTAGTGTTGTACTACTTGCAAAGAACAATTTTATCAGATTCAATTTGTTTATTTATTTGTTGTTATCAGTTCGTAGAGTACTTATTATTAACTCATAGTAAATATTCAGTTTGCATTATCATGGAAGAAGCCAAATGGTTTATCGTTTTATTTATAAGACGCCTTTCATTTTGTAAAATAATTGCAAACTGGCATCATTGAATTATTAATTTCTTAATATTCACTGCTGTTTGTTTCAAATTTCTTGTGTAATCAACGTTTAAAAATGTTTCTGAAATTTGATTTAGAGTATGTATTAAGCTTACTAGAATTTAGCTAGGGACTTTAAATAATACAGAATGTGTTCAAAAATTTGGAAGAAGTATTGTAACAGGAAAATGTAATTATTTCTAACAAAATACGAAAAAAATCTGTGACTTGTCTACAGATGACTTTATTTGAGACATAATTTACAAAGTTACTGATCTGTGACTATTAGTTTTGAGCTGCAGTAGTTTTGTTTGTTTCTGAAAAGATAGCTGTAAGTCATTTTCGGCAGTGACTAATATCGTGTGTTCTTGGTGTTCATCCTGATATTATTGTTAGTCTGTCCCATTGTTGACTATTTTATTAAACAAATAATCCCAGAAATACCAGACGCATTAGTCTGTAATTTTAGAGATAAATAAAGTTAATCTGTCCATAATCTTGAAAAGATTGATGAGATCATCTCAAAATTAAATATGTAAGTACAGTATGTTTATATAAATCATTTAAATGTGTAGCATAATCATGTTCTAAGATGTGAGTAGGCTGTGCCTATCAAAATCAGTTTATTTACTTCTCCACTAAACGTTATGACATCATTTCAAACAATATTAATTAAACGTTATTGGAAAATTCAATGTGAAGTACATTATTGCCTGTAAATACTTTAGTCACATGTTGTTATTTTTTTTTAATTTCTGTATACAATATTAGGATGTATCTACTAATTTTGAAAATATAAGATTACAAGTAGTACCTACTGCACTATAGAATAAAACAAAAATCTATTTACTATTAGGAAAAAGTTGGAAAAATAATAAAAATTATTAGACAGAAGTGAATTTATTTTTCTCTGATGTTCTAGGAACACAGTTATGTTTTTTATAAACACATTTTAAAATTTAAATTATTCCCACATGTTGTATTGTTGTGCTTCGGGGCCGAGAGAAGTTCTACGTAAATAAGGTTACTTTTTTTTATAAACATTTTATCTCTTTGCTAAGTCTATAATAATTAGCTACTGGCCTTAGAAGAAGAAAAACTAAAAAAAAAATGTGATCATTTATGAGAATACAAAGTTGGACCAGCCTCTTTACCTACCTGAATTTAATGGTCGCCTCATTTGGTTGTATGTTGATGTCATCATTACAACAAGCATCTAACATTCTAACCAGCTCGACTCTAGTACCCTGTCTTAGAACTGAAATGAAATTCGGGACTCAAATTTTGTTAAATTGTTTTTTAAATGATTATAGTACATTTGGTTGAAAAGAATATGTCTTGAAAAGTAATTTTAATTATCACCAACAGAAATAGGAATACAGATAGGCCTCTTTTAAACTCGTTAAAAGGGTTGACTCAACCATGAAATTTGAATACAGATGAACCGAATATAATACATACAACTGATGATTACACTGCATAACTTGATTTTGATTTCCAGCCCAGATCAGTACATATTTGGAAAATACAGGCCTTATAACTACATAACTGCGACAAAAACGCCGATGAATGTTCTTACTAGAGTGGTCACGTGAAAGTCTCATGAACATCCAATGCTAAATCCTAACTGATTCTACCAAGGCTTCAACCCACGTGTTGTCTAACTAATGCCAGCGCTAGGTTTGTTGTTCACGCGTTGATCACGCGTTTTTATTACCCCGTTTGTTCGGCGACTCTGTAGTATGTATTACTGTGCTGAACGGTTTTGTTGTATTATGTAATGTGTTTTATTTTAAGAGTTTACGAAAGCCTCATACCTCCCATTTGAAGAAATCTTTCCACAGCTTTATCACTGGAAATTTACATCGAGAAAATTAAGAGTATCTTTCTGGGTTTAAATTTTTCTAATATAAAAAATTACTGAAATTTTTTTTCCAAGCGACATTTATTTATATATATTTATTTATTTTAATTATCTTGTCAAATGTCACTTTGTTCTGATACGGTATCTACGTATAATTAAAATTAACGAATACCTATAAATAATCCGCTGTTGAGATATTTGTCAATCTGTTGTTCTTATTTGAAGTTTTTAAAACGACTTTTATAAGCAGCAAACGAAATACTTTGATTGATGACCATAGCTTTAAAAATACATTAGATTTCATTAAAGTATAATAAAATGCTCGTTGCTAACTAGTAGGATGGTTTTTGATCATTCGCCTACATTTTATTTCAGTCAGTTTAATAAAAAAACCTAATTTAGATTATTGTATTAAAATTATCTTCTGTTATATAATTTTCTGGTACCATCTTTTGATACATACTTATATTGTTATCGCTATCCATAGAACAATATTTTAACAACTGTTTCTTTTTTTTCACTTGAAGTAAAATTCAAATTTTTTTTTGAGAAATTTTCAGTGTCAAAATGTGCAATAGTTGATTATACCATATAATCAAAAAAAAACCTCCTCTAGTGAGCCATAAATTTATATGTAATAATATTTGTTTCAAAAACTGTGGTAGCAGTATTGTTATTTTCCATTGATGATACCTGCCAGTTTGTCATCTGTATTGCCAGAGTAATAAAAAAAATGCTTGAAACACATCATCCGATTTTTATTATCCACAGTAATTATCGAAATAGGGTCAAGCAAGAAAATGGTGAGTGGTCTTATGCTCTAATGCAATGCATAAAAGAATTTCAGTTCTGCACTTTTTGTGAGCAGAAATACAATTACTGCGATCTTCAAATCCTCATGTTCTCCATGATTGTTTGTTAACTTAGTGCATTTGGAATATGTGAAAATATAGACTAATTATGGTAATGAGTTGCGCAATTTAAATATAGAACTTCATTTATCAATCGCTACTTCATAGAGAAGCCGAGGATGACACATAAGAATAACACTGCGCATTTTTTTGTAAAGATGCTGCGACTAACCGGGTTATGATTACACCGTACCTCGCGCGATCGCTCGATCACCTGACTTGCCTGTCTATACTATAATTATAATTAATTTATACCTAAAGAAACCTATAGCGAATTCATGCTGTTTTTGAAAGCAATATTTCCTATTAGTCAGCATTTCCTGTTGACTGATGGTGTCAGTACCATCCTTTTAATGGAACTACTTATTTTGTAGGTTTTTGGTGCTTTCGGCCAATATACTAATTTCATGACTCATGAGAAAGCTTTTAAGAAAACTAAACTGAGAGTTCTATTGAGAACACTAAGAAATCTAAATAATAATAATAATATCATATTTGTTCCAAATAAATATAATATTTGTGTACCTAAGCAGTAGCTAGAACTAAATGTTTAATTTATAATTTAATCTATTATGCCAACTCTCGAATAAAAAAAAAATGGTATTAACAGAATTCCGAAAAAGATCACACATGTGTGGTATGTACTTTATTTAAAACACAGTGCACTCTACAAAAATAGGAGAATTGCTTAAAACGTCAGTTTGAGAGAATAAATTAAAAATTATAAAACCGTTATTTAAAGAACTGACAATGACATTGTACATGTTACGTAAAAATAAATAGATATACAATGCATTCATTTTTTGGAGTACCAATATGCATATACAATTTTACATGTTAAAAAAAATAATTTTAGAGATTTTTACAAAAATCATTGTCTGCATATTGATTAGGTATACAACATACAACTTTTTTTTATCGATTCATTAATATCTAGACTAAAGTGCTTTTACCACATATTATTTAGAAGTACAAATTACTTTCTTAAAATATCACGACATTTAAATACGTTTAAATACGCCTAGATAAATGGATATGGAACGGGAGTAACACAGATGTGTGGGAAAATTTCTTAGGGTAATTTCATATGGCCAAATAAACAAAAATGATAAAACATATTTTCTTCTTCAGTATGTACAGTTTCGGCCACAAAATCTTGGGCAGTTCTGTCATTCCAGTGACGTAAGCTCTAAAACAAGCTTTACGTACTTATAACCTCAAATTTGCCATGTTTGTCATTTTGACGTTGACTAGAATGTGGATGATGACGTGTGTCAAAATTTATTTTTTAAAAGTGTCAATCATTATGACAATAAAGCATAGACTACAACGTGTTTTTTTAAATGACAGGAAAATACTGCCCAAGATTTTCTGGTCGAAACTATACCTACATAATACATATATTTAAATATAAAAAGTTAGAATATCACCATACTTATTACTTAAATTTTGATTTTAAATCTAATGTAGTTTGTTGATAAGTTGGTAAAAGTATATAGTACGACTTACGACAACCATGGAAAATGATTCATTTTATGGGTATGAAAATATGTGACACAAAGAAGAAATACAATTAACATTGTCGGCTACGCCTCGTCACACAATTTCATTCACGGACGATAAAGAACATTTTTGCGTTCTAGTTATAGAAATTACTATTCTTTAGAAAATTGATGATTGCAAAGCATACATCTATCTTTTTTTTTTTGGGTAAAGTTTTTTTTTACTGCAGTTCGTATTATTCTTAGAAAATATTTTGCTGACTCCTCGCCTTTGAAGCATAAGACATTTAGCATACCCTTTATTGTGTCATTTTTACTTCCTGCGCGTTCGCTGAGAAAATATTGCAAAAGGAACGAATGACTTGTTTATTGGCGTTTCATAGGTCTTTGCATGTGAAAAAGTAGGTAGGTACTGCATTTCCGTCTGTCGTCTGTTATCGATTTTACTCGGAAAATAATTTCCGGAACTGTACGACTGACAGTTAACAAATTTTAATGAATTTTATTGTTATCTGAAAATTCTGCGTTATGAATACAATTTAAAATGTGTAAAATAAAAAAGTTATATATTTTTATATATGTACACATATTTTTATCGTGGACAATAATGATGGAATCTAATTTATATCTTTATTTTGTGTTGTCTTACTTGAAATCTACAGTGTAGACTTATTCCCTGTCGAAATTTGATGACGTCATTTAGAAAATTTATTAAATAAATGTTTGCTAAAAAATGAGCTTTTAACTGATGTTAATAATGCAGTCAACTTCGATAATCTACCGGACTTGTTTTACTTTACTTCAGACACGAGAGAAATTTTATCTAAATTACTTTAGCCGATTTTTTGTAAAATATTTACTAATTTTTAATCTATTATCCTTAATTTTTTACCTGTTATTTAGTTATTTTATTACGAGATATTTGAGATAACTTTTTAAGAATCCCATCAAACTTTCGACGTGATAACATTTTATTTAACGATAAGTAAATAATAGATACATTTTAAATGAAAAATTGTGTACTGTCAAAAACTATTGTATAGCAAAGTTTCATATATTGATGACCATATACTCTGTCTCCTAAGGACCCTAGTTCCATAATCTCGTGCTTGTTATTACGTTTCCACATAAACAATAATAAACCTTTTTCGTAACGTCCAAACACCCGTAATGCTTCTGTAATGAGCTAATGAAGCATCGAAGAAGTAGATAAACAGGCAGAACTCTCATTCATTAGTGATAATGATAAGTGATTAAGTATGATTACGTCATTGTTTATCAGTACACTTTAACTAACAACTTCACCAGTCCTGTGGATGACGATCTGTACTTCCTAAACAATCCTGGTCGCCTTAACCTTAAATCAGTTTTTATCGCTCCAACTGACGAATTTGAAAATTTTAATTATACTATTCATCTCCGGTCTCCAAACACGTTCCAATCATTGCAAAACCTCTAGCACATTTAGTCAATACATGTGTACATACAAAAATGTTTTCAAAATTTTTGAAGTTGAATAAATCTACTGCATTACTTAAGAAGGGAAGAACTTAACAACAGGAACAGTTTTCATTTTATTGCATGAAGGATTATCACTGTGTGTGTGTTAGCTTGTGAAAAAACTCCGATTCAAATCTGTTGCAATTGCAATTGAATGTCTCTAAAATAAATACTGTCATTCATAAATGGTTTACAGCAAATAAACTTTAGCTAATAATTAATAACGAAGAGAAAACTCAAAGCATCACATTTTCATGGAGAGCACTTGAAACAGGAAATGACCCTATTAAAATTATTGGGAATTACCCTAAATCCTAAATTGACCTGGGAAGCTCATGCAAACTCTATGAATTGTAAAGCATCATATCTCATTCGACAGTTACGCAAACAGATCAACACCAAAGCTCGCATAAATCCCTACTTTCCCTCTTGTACAACCTAACGCAAAAATGTTGACCCTGTGGGCGGAACCGAGCTGCCA